CTATTTTGAATTTTAGGTTATGTTATAATGTGGAAAAGTAGATTATAAATGAATGAGCCCAGCATGATGAGACAGGCCATGCCAACAAAAACCCAAGAGCATCGCTGAGAGCTCACAAAGCTTCTTAGGCAATGGTGGGAGAACCTCTCACAGTGGCCACCTTAAAGAGGGAGAAGCACATGTGTATAGGTCAGCTCTGCCGCAGTTGCTAAAACAGTTTATTACTTTATGGACACATTTGAGTGGCTCTCTCCCTCCACAAAGGTGACACAATACTCTGTCCACATTTTTTATGAGTTCTTCAGCAATATTAATGCTTTAGAGAGCAATATTAATTTAGGCTAGATTAAATATCCAGAGCCTTGTTTTTGGCATAGCTTTTAGTGCATCTAGGGAGAAAAGGTTGAGATCAGCATCTTTGATAGGTAATTTTGCCAAGGAAGCTCTGAACTGGAACAATGCACTTGTGTTCAGGGACTGTTCCTCTGTCTGTTGGCTCAGCACCTACTTGGGAACCTGACCACATCTGCATTGGCACACAGGCTTTAGGGCTTCTGTGCCTTTCTGTTGTAATTTTTAAGCTTCTATTGCTGTTTTGAAGGCTGTATCTTTCTGTAGCTGACTCACTACTTCTCAACTTTATTAACCATTAGCTATGATCATGTGGGGAGTTTTCCCATAGATACAGCATACATTATGGCATTTGCCCTGCAGTGTAAGGACTTTGTCTAACAGAGCTACAAGAAGACTTTTATGTGCTCTTTAGGATGCATATCAAATGGCAAAGGCCTTAGCCTAGAACATGTCTCAACATCTCTGAGAATTCTTGTGTTTATTAACATTCTGAGGTCTCTTTTTCATGGCATATTGAAAGGCTTTTCTTCATTTGGCTCAGCTGAGTCTTACCTTGAAGGCTTTCCTGACTGAAAAAAAATTTTATCCAACCAGGAATAGTATTTCAGTTCAGATGCCATGAAACCTCTCTTGCATCACCAGCTCTCATGCTCTAAAATATTTTTGTATCTCCAGCATGGCTCTTACCACTGTTTACCAAGGTCAGTCTGTATGAGTCTCTCTCTGACATGGATTAATTGGAGCTAGTTGAGAGTGTAGACCCTCTTCTTTTTCATCTTTGTTGTCTGCTCCATTCACCATTCCCACATCTGAATTATGAGACTAGAATGGATAGGGCATATGGTGAGTGCCTAATACTTGTTTTGATTTGAAGTGGCACTTCAGTTTCGACAAGTAGAATATATTTACTGGACAAATACATAAGAAAATGGTATGTTTCTTAATTTTCTAAGTTCTGTATTATGAATTTTGTGTTATTCTAAGTTTTGTGTTATATCTTGGCAAATTTTCAGAGATTCAGGTATTTTTGAAATCAGATTAGTATTCCCTTCCTCAAGGTCTATAATGATCTTCTAAATGTTTGACTGTGCATTCATGTCATTAGCCTCCATGTTATAGGGACAAGAATTCCCAACAGCCTCAATTGTACTTCATTACTTAAGTATTGATATTTGCCTCTGTTGGGAATGGTTTCCCTGAAGAAGGTATACTTCGGGAAATATTAGGAAAGTTGACTTGAAAATGGAAAGTTGAGGAATATGGTAGATTAATTTTTTACTCAAAAAATATTTGCTGCTCTCCCCTGGGAGGGGACTAAACTCTTCTCCAATGACATAAGGATTGACAGTAAGACTTGCTTTAGACAAGGAAATGTGAGGGCAGCTGAGTGTAGCACTTCTACCACAATATCCAGCAGTGCTCCAGATACAGCATAAGTGGATATGTAGCACAAGAAAAAAAAAAATCCTTCTTGTCAGCTGCAGAGACCTGGGGGGACCTTTTGTTATTGCAACATAAGTCAGCTTATCCTGATGAATACAGTAACTATTGTAAGTATAGTGGATATAGTGAGACATATCTGAAACAAGAGAAGCAAATGATAAGTGATAAGTAAAGCATGAGATTGTCATGAAATTGCAAACTACGATCCAACATTGAAGTTACTTCAGTAAAGATATTGAAGTTGCTGTGGGATTTCAAACTAAGATTCAATAAAGATATTGAATGTTTTGAGTATTACACTTGCTAGAAAATCACATAACTAAACCAAATACTCCTGATTTCATGCAAACAGATGTATTTGTTGATAACCTATGATAGTTTAGACATTTACCTAGGTATCACAGTATATGAAAAATACATCACTTCACAAACTCTGCCTTGGGGACTGTAGAATGTACTAAGGAAGATCTTGCCTTGTTAAATAATAATAATTTTAATGAAAAAGAAAATGACTCAAGAAGGTAATAACTACTATTTGGAGGAAAGAAGAAAGGATTCATGGAAGATGTGGCATTTGACCAAGGTTTTGGAGTGTGGATAAGGAAAGACATTTCTTGAGGGAAAAGTATGTGTGAATCAGCAGGGGCAGGAAATATGTACAATTATTTTGAGGCAGTGAGGACACTCTTTGGGCTAGAAAATGGTCTGTTTAATGAGGAGAAATAGTAGAAAATAAAACTGAAGTTAATTTGGGAAAACATTTTGGAGACACTAAAATTCCCAGATGCATATTTGGACCTTTATAGAAAGCAGCGAGCCATAGAAGATTTTGAGTATGGGTTGACAGTGAGTGTCCATGCTGTGCTTCAGGAATGTGTGGATGGATCATAGGGCCAGGGATTTGGAGATGGGAAAGCCTACATTGAGGCTCTGACCTGGCTCAATGGCACATCATGCCAATGATCCACATATACATAAAATGTAATATAAAACAATAATAGAATCTATCAAACCTATGTCAAGGAAATTTTATTCCACTGATGGTGTTGGGAGGATTGGTTAGCTGTTTGGGGAATAAAAATCAGTGTACATGTACACTTCACACTGAACACTGAAATAATTACCAACCTTAAAAGTAGGTTTGTGGTTAAACTTCTATTGTGAACTTACCTAAGCCTAAAAACAAGTTTTAAAAATAACAAGGAAAAAAGAATGGATAAATTCTATATACAAAAAATTTAAGTATTTATATGTTCCCCACTCAAATCCATTACAAGTTTTAAAACAAACAACTGTGAAAATGCTTGCAGACAATACAAACAAGGATTAGTATCAAAAGAACTTAAATGAATAGGTGAAAACAATAAGAGGAACAAAAAATGAGAAAAATGAATAAATAATATAATTAGATCATTTATGAGCTTAAATACAGAGAAAAAAACAGATATTTAGGAAGTATGCAGTTAAAGAAATTGATCAGAAAGGAAAATTTTTCCCAAAGAAATTAGCAAAAGTTATTTTTAAGAAATATTATGGAACATTGTCATGTTTACAAGGTGAGATAGACAATTCTATAAAGTGCTCATAGTGATGTGTATACTGGCATGATTCTTAGGCAAAGTAATTTGGCAATAAGTATCAAAAGCCTAAACATTGGCCCAGCAATTCCTCTTTTGGCATATTCATCCTAAGGAAATAAGTCCAAATATAGAAAAGGACTTTACTCAAGTATATTCTTAAGAATATTATTTATAGTTTTGTAAAAATGGAAATAACCTAAATTTGTAGCATTCAGGAAAATGTATTTATAAACTAGAGTACATATGTATATATTTGAAGGAAAATTTGGAAGAATTTTAAATTGTATTTACAAATAATTTGAATAAGTGTGAAAATGTTTATGCTCTGATGACAGTATGCTCTATGCATTTGATCAGAGCTATGTAAAAGAAATTCTACATACACACAAAAACGACTGGAAGAAACTTCACAGATTGTCAGCCTTTAGGTGCTAAGTCTCTTAGGTGGCTTCTTTTCTCCTTTATATAATTCTGACTGAAAATAGTTGATACCAAAGTAGAACCCTGGAGATAAGTCTTCATCTTCGACATAGAACTAATAGTCATATGAGTAAATCAGGCTAAAGAAAAGAATGTAGGGACAAACACAGAAGACATGGAATGAAGTCTGGAAAATGCATATATTTGGGTGCAGGAAGAGAGTAGTAGCTTGTCAGTCTTGGAGTAGAAGGAGGTCAAGAGAAGCAAGGTACAGCGATCTCAGGAAGGGAGCACCGTCCATCAGTGATGATGGGAGGGAAAGAGGCAAGGAAGTTGGTGATTAGAGATCATTGAGTTTTCACTGGTTGTCCTTCCAGCAGCTTCACTAGAATCTAGATCAGGAGCCGGGAGGTTTGGGACTGATACAGTGGACAGTTGAAGTGGACAGGAAGAAATGGAGACTACCCTTGCTTTGCTCTAAGAAAAGCAAAATAAAACAGAGCAGGCAAATATAAAACAAAATGTGACATAATCAGTGGGCAATTTTCTTACCTTGTGATGGTGGGGTTCCAAAAGTGTCCTAAGTGAGATGCACACATCAGATTAGCACTGGGATTCATTTACAAGAAAGCGAACAAGGTGCTTCTCTGAGGCTCTCCTTAATGCCTTGTCTGTGGTCAGAGTAGATCATCGCAGTGTACGCTGGCCCCTGTGTCTGTGCCTCTCCAGCTCTCAGGGTAGCCCGGAAGTGTCCTTAGATGAGGATCAGCAATTCACATATCTGTGTACAGTGTTGCTTTAGATGGGCGGAAGGGACAACTGGTAAAAGCCATTTTGCCCAATAAAACCTTGAGCCAAATCTCCCCTATTTACAATGGAGAAGAGAACAGTCCTTAATTAAACAATGAACAAGATACTTGGCATGATTCTGTATTCTAAATTAAATACTTTCCCAAAGTTTTCCCAGGGATGGTCCTCAGCTGAGCACTTGACTTTAGAAGAGTATCCTCAATATTCTCTTATAGACTAAAATGGACCCCCCTCCCAATTCTTCCATAAATACCATTAGGCAGACAGAAGCAAATTGCAGTGGCCACCTCTCAGTTCATGAGCTTTTCAAATGCATGCTGTTGAACAGTGGAGGTCAAAGCAAACTCTTTGCTATGTCTTTTCTCCAGTGTAATCTTTGTCTCTTTACCGTAGGTGCCTATCCTCGGCTCTCACTGAGCTTTCGGTTGAAGAGAAACATTGGATACTTCATTCTCCAGACTTACATGCCCTCTATATTAATTACGATTCTCTCATGGGTGTCCTTCTGGATCAATTATGATGCATCTGCGGCTAGAGTTGCCCTTGGTATGTGCTATTTTTAAATGATATCTAAAATGTAAAGTAACCGTATCATTACAGTATTAAGGAAGTTCAGAGGCTATAGTTCAACTACAATTTTTTGACATCATGACACCAGTCTTGCCCATACAGTCACTTTTTATCTTGAAACAATAATTTCGTGCATGATTCCTTTGATGTGTTAATTTAATTATAAGGCTCAAATGTGAATTTTCATGCCAATGAAAGGGAAAATATGCTTGCCGAATATTTGCATAATAAAACTATTTTTGACACTAATTTTAAAGCAAGGATTAACATCTCCTGTTCAAAATTGTTCTGTGGCCCAGAAAGAAGACTTGATTAATTGGGTATTCATCTTTTTTAAGTCAGAAAAATAGTCAAATATTATAGCATGTAATTGGAATTACACAATTTAATGAGCATTTAAATATGTGATTAGATTCTGAGTGATTCTCAAGAGCACTAGTGATCTGTACTGGCCACTGGTCATTTGGCAACTGGATTATTAGCTAATGTACAATATATTTTATAGGTTCTAATAATATTTTTAATATTTTTAAATTATTAAAGGAAGGCTTATATTTTCAAAAAAACATTATTCTCTATTCAGCTAATTATTATGAAGCTGCATGAATGAAATAATCATTTAAATACATTTTAGATAAGTATAGAGCTGAAGAGCAATTATCTAGTGCATCCCTTCTCTGGGATGGTTGAATTCAATTCCTGAAAGCAAAATTATGGAAAATAATTATCAATACATTTGATATCAAAAATTGATGGAAAATAATTATCAATACCTTTCCTGGTAAATTAGCTTAGAGAGAACCATAAGAATTCAGGGTTCCAGTTATCCCTCTTTCTTCCCTTTTTTTTTTTTTCATCTTTTTCCAGGACTTCAAGTTGATTGACACTGTTTTCCCTAGGAAAATGTGTGTACATGTGTGTATGCGGATGTCTGGTTTAGACTCACAGATAGGTGACTGGCAGAGTTACATTCAAGATTAGATTAACACATAGGAAATCAGGTAACTATTCCTAAAAGTGTTAGCTGAATAAAAAGCTAGTTTGAAAAGAAGAAAGTATCAAAAACTAAAAGCGCTATATTGTTATGTATTTTTAATGGGTCTAGTAAGAAAAGCATCCCTCAAAAAGATCTCCAGGACTTTTCTATGGCCTGCAGAGGTGACCGTGTTGCAATGGTCCTTTCTGTAAGTTTCCCCCTTCCTTTTTTTTTAATGTTACTAGATGACTCTTCGTTAAATAATTTTCTCTTCTTCTCACCTGGAAAAGCAGAACTAAAATGTATTTAGAGGGGCAGATCTAAATTTTGCAGACTTGTTAGCTTATACCTTTTCAGAGTCTCTCTTTAAGAAAGAGAATATAAAATAGACAAATATAAAATCTCTAAGACCCCACCCCAAGTCTGGATGAGGACTATGCAAGTAGAGCTCTAAAGCTAAAGCTTCTTGAGTTTCACATTGAATTGGCCTTGGAGAATTTGTCATTATTGAGATAAGTAAAGAAATATAAGTACCAAAGAACTGTAATTATCTAGCATCAATAGGAGTGAGGTGTACTGAAAATGTGAATTTCTAAATTTTCTAGATATACACGTTCTATAGCTCCTTAATCGTAAGACACTGTCTTCCACAATATTAAATAATCTATCTGAAGTGAGTTGTAGTCAACCCAACCTCATTACAGTATGTGAAAGTAGATTCCATTTTTTCCAACAGAATAGCATTATGACTATAAACCTAAATCATCCTGTTATGGCTTTGCTAGGACAAAGGAATGGTCTGCCCAGAGTTGCTAAGGCTTCACCACTGGAGGAGTGCCAGGTTCTGACAGATGTCACAAGTCTGGGAGGCAGATGTGAGTACAGAGGCAGAAGTGAATGGGCATTTGCCAGTGTCCGGATGAACCTGAGGCCTGGGGGTCTGGAAGGCAGCTTGACCCTAGGGCCACAGGTCTGAGCAGACAACAGTCCAACAGGTCCAGCTCTCAATGTAGGATACCAGCGTGCTCACTCCCTTTGTCCCACCTTCTGCCTATGTAGAACAGGGTCTCTGAGCCTGGGTCTGCAGGGATCAGGAAATGTTACCAGGTCACCTCCAATAACTAAGGGAAAGTATATCACAGGGTCATGAACACTTAATAACAACACAATAATCATTAATGCTGAAATTTGCTGAATACTCAGGTACCAGGTTCTCTGCAAGGCCACTAATGGGGTTACCTTACCTGTTCTACAGAACATCCATAGCACAATAAGCAATGTTATTGGTCCCATTTGACAGAGCAGGAAAATTAGGTACAGAGAAGCTACATAACTGGTACAAAGTCATATGACATTTTAAGTGTCAGAAGAAAGGTTTTAATCCAGTTAGTCAGACTCCAGGATTCTCTCCCTTAACCACTACAGGTGATTCCTATGGTGTCAGTAGACAGTACATGCAAGAGTCATCTTGTCTATTACATTGTAAAAAAGGATCAAAAAGAAAAAAAAAGCTAAGCAAGAACTATTATTAAGTATTACTATTGAGGGATCCCTCAGAATCTTTAAAATGCTAATGTGCTCTGTGCCTCTTTAAGAAGATATGGCTATGGTTTGGGGGCTTTAATTGGAGAAATTCTCCTACCCCAGCCCTTTTCCACCTGTCTTGTCTTGTAACACACCTTTAAAATGCTTTGAGTGCTGTTATCAGCATCCTGAATGGCTGCTGATGAATGCACCTCATTTCTGAAAGAGATCTTAGAGGTACAGGTCAGTGCAGAGGAGTGTTCAACAAAGATATCCATGGAACACCCTCTCTGGCGAGGGCTCTGTTGGACCTGCAGTCGTCTGGGGTTGTCTCTCTATTGAGAAGGGAAACGCTGGTCCTTCACAAAGCTGTGTTGCACTGCTGTTCTGTACGCTTCAGGGTTTTATGCTTCTACTGATCAGGGGCTGACTCCCAGATCTGTTGAATTGTTAGTGTTACAAGCCATCAGGTTGCAAAGTTGGGAGGTGTAATTAGGTGATCTTCCTCAAAAACCTGAAGTGAATAATAGTGAATAATAGTACCGGTCCTTTTAAAAGGGAAAATTCAAACTAAAATAATTTAGACCACATTATTTTGATCACAAAGAAGAGAAATAAAGTATCTTTTGATTAAATGAAGCAAATTATATTTTTATTTCATAGTCATCTGTATAAATGCAGTTTTTCAAATACGATATTAGCATAATCTAAATGAGAAATAATATGAGGCTAACAATTAGTAGAAAGACTGAACAGCTTGATCAGTGTACAAAGAACATGGAAAGCACCATTCAGTCATCTCCTGTACTGCAGTTGGATGGGTCCCCTTGGAGGGCGGAAGCTCAAAGCAAGGCTATGGCTGTGGGTCTCTTTCGAGGAAGCCAGAATCTACTGAATAATTTATTTTTCTGTAATGATAATAATAAATACGATTATTTGTTGTTATTAGTGTTAACGCTGCCAGTTACCATTATTAACATATCACCAATGGTTTTCAGGCATCACATTTAGACTTCACATCAGCTGTAGACAATGGTGTGGACCATCAAGGCTCAGGTCATGCTGCTGGGAAGTGGCATAGCTAGGATTTTGGCCTGGGCCATGTGGCTGTACCATCCAGGTCTGTGAATCACTACAGTCCACCATCATCCGCAATATCTAGATAGGAAGTAAAATGATACAGAGAATTAGTAAATGTACTGGCCTTTTAAACTACGAGCTAATGTGAGCCCAAACAGAGCACTGATCCCAAAACCATACTCCTCGAGCCTGAGCTGATGGGCCTGAGCCAGGTTGCTGTCCCATTTTACTCAGGGCTGCTTTTCCCAGGCTGAGTGCCTGTGACATATGCTGGCTCTTGCTATCCCTGTGTTCTTTCAGCCCATTTCCCAGGACATCCACTGAGGCCTGTGTTATACATGTCCGCTCAAAATAGTCAACTGGAGAGCCACAAGAGTCAGCTGGAGAGAACCAGAACATTCATGCTCTCCAAGTACATTTGGAAGGAAAAAAGTTGTGGCAGCAAAATTACAAAATTTTTGAATAATGGTGAGAACACCTAATTTTGGAGAGTTTGCGTGGTGTTTTCACATTTATTTGTAAACTGTAATCATCCCATTGCCATTTTCGAATTTTAAAAGTCCCCAGGTGCACATGAATGTTACTTTAAAGGGGAATCTTAAAATATTCTGACATATTCGATTTCCATATATTCCATAAGCTATCATGGTTTGCAGTTATACACAAAAATAGTTTCTCAGTGCCTCAGTTCCCTCCTCTACTTTTCATAGCAGTTTAGAGGTGGGTGGAAGGAAAGCATGTGCTAGTGACAGAAAGACTGGGCTTTATTCCCTGCCCTCCAGATGGTCCCGAGCAAGTAGAGATCTGTGGTCTGGAGGTTCTCTCTGTGGGACACACAGGATAAGGATTCTTACCTCCAACGATGGGATGGGAACCCGGAGAGCATCAAATTAAGATGCTTAACAAATACAAACCCTCCACTGGAGAGTTGGGTGGGATCTGGGGGCTCAGAGAAGTGCCTTTGGTGGAATCATATGTAGAGGTGGTCTGGGCTGTGCCTTGTATCTTGGGAGCACTGACCTCTCTGGCCTGCACTGTCCCCTGGCCTCAGTGACATCATATTTTTCAGGTTGCTGTGGCTGAGGGACCATGGCTAAAGCTCTCACTTTCAGAAGTCTCCTTTTTGATGGAAGGCATGAATAGCAATGAGGAGGAAGTGTTTCTCTCCATTGGGTCCTTGAAGACACAGGGATAATTGCATTCAGTGGCACCAGTTAATTGAATGGATAGAAAAGAGTTGACCCTTTGGAGCTGTCTTTTTTTTTTTTTTTTTAAAGATTTTATTTATTTATTTGACAGAGAGAGAGCACAAGTAGGGGGAGCAGCAGAGGGATAGGGAGAAGCAGGCTCTCCGCTGAGCAGGGTGCCCGACGTGGGGCTCCATCCCAGGATCCTGGGATCAGGACCTGAGCCTAAGGCAGATGCTTAACAGACTGAGCCACCCAGGCACCCCCCTTTGGAGCTGTCTTAAGAGAAAGCAAGTCAGCTGTAGTATTTACTGTCCCACCAAGAAGTGAGCAATCCATATCTTTCCTGCATGTATGACTTCACTCAGTTCAACAAACTCTAGTCATGTCACGGACATGTCCCCTCCTTTCTGTGTCTTCAAATTATCCAATATGGAATCTTTGTATTGAAAACAAAAAAAAGTCCATTGCTATGGTATAATTGCAAAATATGGTCCTTACATGTTTTTAGAGACTGGACTTAGCTCTGTTAGGGAAACAGAAATCATTCACATACTACATTATGAGAATTCAACATTATGATTTAAAAAAAAAAAAAAGGATCTGGTCAGTTCCCCCAGAATATGGCAAGATTCATTAGCCTTTGACTTCATCACGCATGTTCTGAGAAGCTTGTATAGACTCTTAGTTGAGGAGGGAAAGGACTCTGAAATCATCTGTCCTCAGGAGCTTCCCTGAAGTACTTTTTTTTTTTTTTTTTAAGTACTCCTTTCTTTTTAAGCTCAGGACTGGATCAAGTCCGCTATCAGTTTTAAAAATCATTGCCTTGGGGTGCCTGTGTGGCTCAGTCGTTAAGCATCTGCCTTCGGCTCAGGTCACGATCCCAGGGTCCTGGGATCCAGCCCCACATCGGGCTCCCTGCCCCGCGGGAAGCCTGCTTCTCCCTCTCCCACTCCCCCTGCTTGTGTTCCCTCTCTCTCAGTCTCTCTCTCTCTCTGTCAAATAAATAAATAAATAAAATCTTTAAAAAAATAAAAATAAAAATCGTTGCCTCATTCCCCTTTTTCATAAAGCATTGTGGTAAGAATTGTTTTCTTTTGACGGGCAGGCTCACTGAGCCCTCACTAATGGCCATAGGTGACCCTCTTTTTTGAGTCTTCATAGATTCATTCTTCTTGGAAGCGTCTCATCCAGACACACAGTGTTTTATGTTAATTTCTGGAATTATTTTCATTTCTTCCAACTTTCCTAAAAAGCACATTCTCCTTTGCTGCCTACATATCTCCATATATTCTCCATTCCCTCTCTCTCTAAGCTAGGTGCCACGGGGTGGTGCCCCACCAGGGAGCAGAAATGTCAGCTTCCTGACCTGAGTGGTGACCTGATGTCCATACATGTTTCATGCTCTGTTGCTTTCTGGTCACCTAATAATATTCAATCTACTATCTCCAACTATTTCGAGCTGTTTGAGAAAATACAAAAGTGAAACTGAGGAATAGAGCTGCAAAACTGCAGCCTCTCACCCTTTTGTTTCTTTTGTAGGGATCACAACTGTGCTGACGATGACAACCATCAACACACACCTTCGGGAAACATTGCCCAAAATCCCCTACGTCAAAGCCATTGACATGTACCTCATGGGCTGCTTTGTCTTTGTGTTTCTGGCCCTTCTGGAGTATGCCTTTGTCAACTACATTTTCTTTGGAAGAGGCCCTCAAAGGCAGAAGAAGCTTGCAGAAAAGACAGCCAAGGCAAAGAATGACCGTTCCAAGAGTGAAAGCAACCGGGTAGGCCCTCCACCAGCCTGACCACTCACCCATCATGCCTTTCACAGACCCACCCTGCTCCTACCACTCATCAGTCACTACAGTTACTTGCATGACCTTTAAGTAGTTGTGTGGGCTTTTGATTATAACCTGAAATGTTGCCTCCTGCAAGTCACTGAATTTTATATAAAACCAAAATTAGTGCAGAAGCTGGAGAAGCCACAAGCTTCCAGTTGCCTCTGAAAAGAACAGAACATGTGAATACCATGTGGGATGTTGGCTCTGAACTTGACAGGCAAAAGCATGTTTCCAAAATGTTGAAATACTCATTTAGTGATAAAATTACAAATTTTATTGTCCAGCACGCCACTGTTCTTTTACAGTGTGGGCAGACCCGTCTCTCATCCACCCACTATCTGGCATAGTCCCCTAGTCCAAGGTCCTTAGTGCAAGGGAGGAACCGTGCTCTGTTCAAGGGATCTCATAGATCTGCCCAGGCCCTGTCCCCTGCCGGGTGTGTTCGCAAAAGTCAGAGCCTAGCAGGGCCAGATAGTGGTAGCCAAGGATGGTGCATTGCTTTAGGAAGCCCTTGGGCTGTACACTAAGAAAGAGACCATAAATTAGGTCCACCCCCTCCAGCCCTGCTCAGCATCCTTACATCCTTCCGGGTACAAAGTAACTTTGCAATTACATGTCATTTCATTTTTTTTTAATAAAAACAATATGTCATTGCAATTATAAACAATACTTTAATGAAAGTACATTATAGTTTCTATGTAATTTTTGTCTTTATCTTTTTACCTCTTGCACCCCATAAAGTTCTCAAAAATATATTTCTCCTTGTTTACACGCTACACTTGCTCCTACATTTCTTTATTATTTAATTCTTCTTGCTAAACTTACTTATTTCTCAAGCCTGTGGTCTTTCCTTGCTTTTTCCCATGCTCTTAGTACATGTTATGGGTCTGTTCGTTAGAGAAATGCAGCAGCTCCTTAGAGTATTTGCTGTGTCCATAGACCACTGGTGGCCCAGAATAGGTTCACAAACATTCATGAATGAATGCAGTCAGTTAAATGAATGCAAATGGTTCCCATCCCTTCAGCAAAACATAAATAGAGTTGGTCAGAGAAACTTAGGATCTGTGAAAAAAATCAGGCTTCCACAAGCAAAATTATCCTGAACTTCTTACTGGAAAATATACTTAGTACCACACTGTTATGTTTCTAAATACGTCTGCATCCTACTATGAATACACAATATGCTTTGGTCATGCCATTTCCAAGGAAACTGGAATTCATCACATCATTATTGTTTTCATCACACAGATATACAGACACACATACACATACAATGCTGTTTTTCCAAATTCCCTCATAATTTAAACAGATCATAAATTGTTTCCTTTCTTCTAAATGAAATGGTTTAGAACAGTCAGGTTGTGCCGCAGAAATACCTTTTTGAGTGTGAAGCTTAAAATTTAAAGCAAAAACAGAAACACCTCTAACATGCACAGAGAAAAGTAGCAGAATATGAAAAATATTTTACGTCAGATATTATATTATAAATCAGATGCAGAGGAAAATTTTATTTTATTCACAAGGCCATTTTATTGTTTTTCTGAAAATGTTTGTGTGTTTTCCCAACAGCTTTGTTAAAGCCTTTATATGTTCATATTTTTAAAAATCTGTAATTGTAAATCAGCTGTCAAGGTCTAAAGTTGATATACAAATTCATAGATACTAGTTTTAAATGCATATTTGATATTCTTAAAGATAAGCATTAAATATTATTGCTGACCCACATCTAAGACTTTAGTGATAATTTTCAGATGGAAATGAATCTCCCAAAAAGCTTATTATCATGTGATGTGGATGAGTTAAGGGAAAGCGAGAAAAGAATCACAAACTTCATGCAAAACAGAAATGTCACTATGCACCTGGCCAACACCTTCAAGAATTCTTTGTAATTACAATTATTCATTCATTCACTTTTAGTGATATCTTTCAAGATTGTTTGTTAGCGTGACCATCAACAACCTCAGGGAAACCCATCTGTGTTATAGATGGGGCTCAGAGGGCTGCACCTGTCCTTGGACTGAAAGAGGACACTGGGCTGACCACAGGGATTTGCACTGCCATTGTTTTTCTGAGGTCACCTTTCCTGTCCAATAAGGGGATATCAGGGTGGTACCCTCGGGGGCTCTCAGGCCACCAAGAGGGATCTGTGCCATCAATGACTATCTTTGGGATGATGATGTTATTGACCTTACTATAAAACCTTAAGGAGATTTTCCTTATATTCAGTGGTTGCATATTATTTTAACTTAGTGGTTGATGCATGAATGCTCAAACTGTTCATGTATTCACTTCGTTTCTCCTCAGAGCAGTGGTGCAATGTAAATTGTGCCCTTAATTTATTTGTGCATAACCTCTTTGGTTTCTTGAATTGTTTCTATACTCAAGAGTTAGTCTTTGATTGTATTTGAATTTCATGAAGTGGCAGAAAGTTGTAATTCCTTCCAAGGTATTAGAGCTGCAGACTTGACATCATTCCTCTTACTAAAGAGCAAGATTTCTTTCCTCACATGACAAATACTTTTTTTTTAATTTTTCTAATAGAGTATTTTACTTATATAGAAGTTTGAAGGTAATTAGAGAATGAGTATCAATAAAGTGCCACTCTGGTGAGAGATTCTAGAAAAAAATGAAAACCACTTTGTAATATATTCTGCATGAAATGTTTTCCACCTTTGAATATTTGTGCCTGTCAAGGTTATAGAGCAGGAAGAAAAACTATATTAAAATCATTGATTCTAATTATAGTAGATATGACACAAACTCTTCAAAATATGAAGTATTCATGAAATGCTTTAATTTTTTTTTCATGAAATGCTTTAAAAAATGCAAGTCATCATCTGTCATTCTATACAGGGCATTTCAATCTTATGTTTCAACAACACCACTTCCATCTGTTTTAAGATTTAAATTTTAGATTATAGGAGAAGATTAGCATCTTTTGGGGACATATTTGTTTAAAATGTTTGGTTTCTAAGATTTAGCACATTTTAATAACTCCTTTAATTCTTTTAGAAAAAAATCTTCTCATAATGTTGTTGGAAATTTTCTACACATTGCTTCACTTTTAAATGAAAACTATGTAAATGTAAAACTATAAGTCAGAAGCATCCAAACTAATTTACACTAAGCTGTTATTATCCAATATATGTTCAAGTTGCTTTCAACATTATTGTTTCCATTACAAGTGTTCACCCACTCTGAAATAGAAATCATGGGAAATAGTGTTGGTTATTGAGACCTACCTCACAAGAGCTGTGTCCTGAAACAGCTGCAAGGTAGTCATAAATGTCCAAAGCACCCAAGAGCCCTCTAATTCTGTAAATTATTGATGATATTGGGTTTGGTTTCCCTTAAGGTAAGTTTCCTTCACTAGAGTCAAGGGCACAAAATTAGATCTCTGCCCTCATGAAGTCCTTTCCCAAATGCACAGCACTAGCCGCAGGGACTTGAGAAGACAGGATATTGATTCAAACAAATTTGTCATTAAGTCTTGAAAAATCAACTCAACATTCAGTTGACCTCATTTCTTGTGTTTTCTCCGTTCTCTCTGTATGCTCCCCAAAATCCCTGTATACATTATCATCTTTTTGCCTTGGATTCTCTCTTTCCAGAATCCCTTTCTTCTTTGTCCACATCTTCCCCTCCTTCAAGACCTAAGCCAGATGCTCTTCTCTATGACATTGCCCAGGATTTTTTTTTTTCTTCTACTTGTGTCTGTCCTGCCTCTGTCACTCCCTGCTTCAAGAAATTGGTTTTGTCCCTGTTCTCCCAACTTCCATGGCACATGTTCTGCACTTATGAAATGGCGTGTTACATTTCACATGGCCACCATGCTTTCTCTGCTAAACAGCATTTGATTTTTCACATCGACCAAAATATGCACACCATGGCTCAGATGTGGTAAATGTTCATGGAATGTGTGTCCATGAATGAGTGGTATCAGAACACCATTTTTTGCTGATGTGGTGTGTTTTTTCACTTTTCTGGTGGGAAGAGAGGGGAAGGTTCTCAAATGCATCTTTTTAAAGTCAGGGGAAGCTAAATCATTAGAATCATTGATATTGATCAGAATTAGCTTCTCACAAAATATTCCCCTCCCTTCCTATAAAAAAGACTTGTCTTCTTTGGTATTTAATTCTATAAAGTGGTTATTTATAATCGCCTAGATTTTATTAAAGGGAGTTTTCATATGGCATTTTTAATAAAAAAGAGAGTATTAATGGCATGTATTTAAAAATGTGCTTAAGGTTCATTATGCAGTATTTTTTTTTAATGTGCTTGTTGATTAATTGAAACTCTTACCTGCTAGACCCCTTAAGGGTAAGGATCTTTTCTTATTCATCTATTAGGGTCTCTCACCTAGCACAGGGCATGGTACAGAGCAGATACATAATTTTTTTTTTTTTACATGAACAATCCCACAAGTCTGGACCCTTCGTGTACATATCTCCAGTGAAGTATCCACATTCCTAAGTGGACCACTGGGCCTTTTATCTCATGGTTTTGTTGTATTTAAAATATTACATAAAATGGAAAGAACATTTTTTAGAGTTAAGTGATGTTTTCTTTTTTTTCTACCTTTAGGAAAATATTTTCAGTCTTCTGAGGTTCTAATTAACATATAGTAAATCATTTATTATTATTGGAAAGTATAAATGCCACATGAGGACTTAAAAAAAAGCAAGCATCTTCCACCTTTGGTTATTCTCTGGCTCAAATTTAGATAAATTTTGTTTTAAATATATCAGCTTACTGTTTAAGAAGGTCTATTTAAAATATCAGTCAGTTAAATAAGATCTAATTGAGCCGATTTGATAAGTGATCTCAGTTTGTTAAATCTCCTTAAGTGATAACTTAATATATTTCCTGTCATGATTCGAAAACAGATATCTGGTAGGGTATCACACCTATTCATTGCAGTGCTAAAATACACTGATTGACTCCCTCTCAAGAAAAAGATGCCCAAGTGAGCCGGGTTCAAATCACGCCTTTCTTAGGGAGAGTGACTACTTGCAGAGAAGACATGCTTGTGCCCACTCCTTTGCTGGCCTATCCTTTGTTGCCCCCCCCTTTCAGCCACACCTTACTGTGTGTCTCAGGCTTCTCCTTCTACAGCCTCTTCTTACAGTGAGAGACTGTCTCCCAAACCACTGGGGGCTTCACTGATCCTGAAGATAGGCGAACAGATTTTTTTTTTTTTTTTTTTGGTTAGGGTTTTACTGCTAACCATTCCAGGGCAAGAAAACAAAAAGAATAGTTATGGAACACATGTTCCAAATTCTTACAAAGGTCTAACATTCCTGGTACTGTTGAGACACAAGGCACATTTGAGTTTTTCCCTCTACTGGATTAAAAAACAAAAACAAAACGCAGAACTCTAATATTCTGTCAGTGCTCTGTCCCTAGCCCCAAGAATGGGTCTCCATGAAGGGCCTTCTCCCCAGTATCTGGATGTCTTCTTGGTCCATTTGCATTTCCCAGCACCCGCAGGCTTGCTGTCCTCCATTCTAAGAAGACCATAGGTCTTCACGGTCTCCCCACTATGGCACGGCTGGCCCGACAGTTCAGAGGCAGCATCACTGAGGAGAACCAAGCACAGCCCAGGCTAACATGTGCCTGCTGCTGCTACCCCACCCCCCTGCACTCCGCATGGGTGGTGTGAGTGTTTCTGCAGAGAGCTCAGGAAACGCCAAGAGGTCAGGTGGGAGCAGATGGCAGGCAACTCTCTCTCCATCCCTTTCCCACCTTCTTCACTGAGAAGATGTAGAAATGAGTGGTGATGGCGGAGCGCCTCTGCCATGTGGACACAGCACGTGTTGGGAGTGCTGGGATTTGCTGCAGTGGCAAGAGGGGAGCCTTGCTCACAGCCTCTCGGCATTTCTCCTTCAGACTGCGCTAAAGGAAACAGGAGTGCGGTGCATTCCAACAGTGGTCCCTCTCCTTACTTCCTCCTCTCAAATGCATCTGTTACTCTTCACTCTGCAGCTTGGGTTGTAGTTCAGAAGAATGTCACTTTTCTCTAGAAATCACTGTTACTTTTTACTACCTGGAAGGTAAAGTTGAAATTCCTTAATGCAATATACAGAAACCCTTACGGGCTTGACTCTAATGTGCATTCCTGTTCATCAGGGGGGTGTATTTTCTTAATATAAAATGTTAGGAAGATGGTAATGACAGTGATAAGAAAGACCATCGTCCCATCAACTGTGAGCTTAGCATGTGCCAGGATCCATTCTCTCCAAAGTCCCACTCAGCTAGTTTGCCTTTCTCAAAACAGTTCAGTCATTTTTCAAGCCTTTGCTTGTGATGGTTTTTTTTCTGCTTTTTGCTGAAAAATGTCTACTCATTCTTTGAGGCCCAATTCAAATACATTTCTCCTCTGAAATCTTCCCTCTTTCCTCCTGTAGTAGTTTTGATTGCTATCACAACAAATTACCACAAATGTAGCCACTTAAAACAGCACCCAGTTCTGTTGGTCGGAAGTCCAGTGCAGTGGGGCTCAGCTGGGTTCTCTGCTGAGAGTCTCAGGATGCTGAAATCAGGGTGTCTGTGTGGCTGTGTTCCCTTCTGGAGGCTCTGGGGATAGATCTATCTCCAGACTGATTCAGATTGTTGACCACAGTTTCTTCTGATTGTAGGGCTGAGACCCCTGTTCCCTCCTGGCTTTCAGGTGGAGCCAGTCTTTGCTCCTAGAGGCTGTCCCATTTCTTCCTATGCTTTATCTGCAGTGCCCTCTATCAATAGAGAATCCAGTTTTTCTCACACTGCAAATCCCTCTGCTCTCACCTTCTGCTGCACCTCTCTTTCCCTCTTGCTTCCAGCTGGAGAATATCCTATACTTTTGAGGGCTTATGTGATTAGATTAGGCCCACCTGAATAATCCAGGCTAATCTCCCTAATTGTAAGGTTCATAAGCTTAAATATGTTTGCAGTGTCCCTTTTGCAATGTTTGCAATGCCCCTTTTGCACGTAAGGCAACATACTCACAGATCTGGGGAGTGAGGGGTGATATCCTGATGACCACACCTCTCCTTCCCCAAGCATAATGGAATGGTACTCCCAAATCACGGGGTAGACATCTCAGAGTCTGTTTTGGTGCCTTTGTACCAGAGCCTGAGTGGCCCCCAGATGTTTGCAACCCTTCCTGTGTCTGGGCTACCTTGGTGTCTAGGAGTCATCCCACCTGGGGTCTTGGCTCTGCTCAGAGGTCTGCACAGGCACCTGCCTCTTCTTAGTTGGGAATCTTCTCTCCACACCTCACCTCCTTCATATCTAGCACAATACCTTAATGAAACTAAGAAGTATACAGAAGATGGGAACACACAAATTAATATGTATTAATAAATTATTCCTCCACAAAATAACTAATTTTGTGAAAGTTTCATGGAAGAAGCCATAGACACTTAATCTAGTTCTACAAGAAAGGGTAGGCTTTCCACAGACAAAGATAGGACAAGGAAGATGGCCCTTTAGCAAAGGAATGAAGATGAGTGGGATAACATAAAGCATGCTGGAGAGCAGTGAGACCCAGGGGAATGTCGAATGGGCCACGTGGCCCTGAGAGGTGTTGGCACTGCTCAGAGTAGGGATTACAGACCACTTAGAAAGGACTCCACTGGGGACCTCTAGCCTCAGTTATGCTCCATGGAAATTTCATGGCGGATGAACAAATAAACAAATGGACCATCGACATCACCATGAAAGGTCTGAAGCTGTATTTAGCACAAAATAAAATGTTATTTTAAAGTTTGGCTCCAATGTGGGAGGGGACTTTAGTCTATCTTAAATATAGCCCTTAAAAAGGAGGCCTCCTGCCAGGACCAGGATTGGGCAAGGAGATCATACTTGGGTAGGAGTCTGTATCTACCCCCATCAAAGTCATCAGGAGTGTCCATTCATCACAGGAGTATTTGCTTGTTTGTCCACGGTAGTGTGAATATTTTTGTATAGTCAGAAAAGGGGACAAGCTGACTCTAAAGAAGATGAGAAAGTATGGTTTTCATCCAGTGTCCAGTTATGAAAAATGGTTAAAATACCTAAATCAACATCTTGAAAGGAATTTGTACTTTAATTTTGTCTTCAGTAAGGACTTGTATCCATAATAGGAAATGTCAATTTAAAAAAGCCCGCTTTATTTAATCTAATCTCCTATGTGAGAATTTCTAAATTGAGGAAATAAAATCTCTAAACTGTAGTTAAGCCTTCAGAATGACATCTTCCACGAAAACAGTGCTGGGTTTGACGGATGTGCAGTTTCTCATAATGTATGTGACATGATTGCATGGTATAAGTCTGTGCTGGGTTTGTATATGAAAAGTAGATTTACTGGCATGCTAGGTGCCTAACGATGTGTATTTTCTTCAATTAGGTGGATGCTCATGGAAATATTCTCTTAACATCACTGGAGGTTCACAATGAAATGAATGAGGTCACGGGCAGTGTTGGTGATACCAGGAATTCAGCAAGACCCTTTGACAACTCAGGAATCCAGTACAGGAAACAGAGCATGCCTAGGGAAGGGCATGGGCGACACATGGGGGACAGAAGCATCCCGCACAAGAAGACCCATTTACGGAGGAGGTCTTCACAGCTCAAAATTAAAATCCCTGATCTAACCGATGTGAATGCCATAGACAGATGGTCCAGGATCGTGTTTCCATTCACTTTTTCTCTTTTCAACTTAGTTTACTGGCTGTACTATGTTAACTGAGTGACTGTACTTGATTTTTCAAAGACTTCATTTAACACTGAGCGAAATATTACTCTGCCTGTCAAGTTTTTATACCTGTACACACACACAGACACACACACGCAGACACACATATATACATACGCAATTGTATATATATGTGAACTTTCTCAGCATATATATAAAATACACGTGTATATGAGGATGTATGTGTATATGTTTATACACACAGGTTTAAGTACCCATGTGTATGCCAAACAAATACACATACATATATACATTTTGCAGCTATGGACAATTTAACACAGGATGCATATTAAAGAAAGTCATAGTTTTTTCTTTTTTAATTGAAAGGGACAAGCATCGTCTAAATATTATGCCTTGAGAATGAGGGCGTGAAACACAATATCATCCCAAAATGTGTTTTTTATTATCATAAGTTAGATGTTTTAGTTTAAAAATCAGAAAGAAACTCTTAGTTAATCTTCAAAAACTCATACAGTGATACTGCTAGTTTAAAATGAGTCACATACTTCATATCCTTTCTGTTTACTAAGCGAAGGCTTTTCAGCTTTTTTGGTGATGGGGTTTACTTTCATCGGGCTTACTTTTTCTGTACTGGTTTAGTGGATGAAGTGAGCCACTGGTGTGTGCTCACCTGTTGTCTTAAACATAGATAGATCCCATGTTGATGTCTGAACGCCCATCTTTTGAAAACCCATCAGGAATGGATGGCATCTCATTGTAAGTACTCTGTTGTACAGTGTATTCTTTTGTTCACGTGGAGTGGATCCAGCTTACCTGTCATGCAGGAACACAGTGGCATGTTTTGGCAATGTTTAGTTGACATTTCAATCACTGAAAATGTGCTCCACATCTCGTATGGATTTCTAGGCCTGATATCTAACAGAAAGCATAGACGTCTCAGGTTATTTGTTACTCTAAGGTAAAACCATCTAGGATGATTTTCCCCCTTGTCTTTACATTATCAATCACTCTTATAACATTGTATGTTAATATAAAATATATTTGCATAATATGCATATATATGTATATTTACCAAAATTTTTTTCTTAATGCTTGCTATCATGGCAGCATGCAATGTCATATTTTCTTTTACGTGATGTAACTACTTTCTGTTACCTAGAATTAAGATTGAAGCTTAAAACACTTCTACTGTTCAATTTCAGAAACCAAGAAACATCTTCATACCTTTATTTCTGTATCTGACATATTTCATAAGCACATCCAACTACTCCTAGTCTAACTAGGATGCTGCAGGAACATGACCAGTACACACCACACATCACCCAGTGACCCATGACCGTTCTCTTGAGGCAAAGGAGAGCAACCTGACAACAAACACACTCACTTTTGGTTCCTTCTGATCCACAGCCTCATCAGTATTTGGACTTTTTAAAGCTCGTAGAAACAAGACAAGGTGCACCGGTTTCATAGACGCAACCTTAACTTACTATTTAGATGAGATCTTTCTAAAGAAAAAAAAGAGATGATATATTTTTTGTAAACAATATTTCTATCACAGGCCTCCATAAACTGAAATGACTACAGTTGTGCAAACAGATGTCACAGTGAAGTTAAGCACTTGGAGAAAAAAAAAAAGCAAAATATTCAGGAAAGAACTACTAAATTAATATTTTATCCCAACATGCCACATATGCCTCACCCTCTCTGTTCTGTCCTAAACCAATGACCAAAATCTCATCCAGTACTCTATTAGCTGGCACTAGTTTTCTCCGCATAGATAGAGACACCACCTTCCCTGAGGATGCATGTGGTGTGGGCTATCACCATAAGCTGACCACTACTTGATTTTTCTTTGGCGGCCATAACAACCTTTAATTTGTGGGAGTCTGTCACAGTTTAAGACCCACTGTCAGGTAAAACATAGCCCACAAAATCTCATGCCAGAAGCAATGACCAGTTTTATACCCTTTCCCCTCCTTCATTCCGACCTTTCTTTAACATCTTCTTCCACCCGCTGCTCTCTGGTTTTATTTTTATCTGGAGACTAGCCAGTGGTCTTGGGCTTTTCTCTGGCAATTTTTTTTCCCCCCATGGGTAACAATGAGGGATCCTAAAAGTTAAACAGATTGGGAAAAACCTTGTAAGTGGCCTTATCATTGTTAACATGTTAAAGAAAAAAAAAAGACATTTGTGAAGACCTTATCCCTTTCAATACTTCAGGTATCTTTTTCTGTATCCAGTGATTCAAGGAGTGAGCTCCACATGCAGAAGAGGGACCCCAAAATGCAAATGAACATGGACAAAAGTAGTCAATGATCGATTTAAGTGTACAATTTATACTATTCAGAACTGTGACATTAATTCTTTCTGGGAGAAAAATGATTCAAAACATTTTTTGATGCATAGTTGAGGTACCCAACTATCAAAGGCAGAGACCCTATGGGGCTCAGAAGAGCTGCAGTCTACTTACCAAGGTTTTCTGGATATAAATTTGCATGGTATAGTCATAATAGCTTTTGAGCTTTTTATATGCATTTGGCACCAAGACTGGGATCCACAACTTTGTAGACACTGCGATGAAATTAACATAATAGCTATACTATAAATAGTGTTTGTAACTACACACATACATACACACACACACACACACAAATACATAACGTATATTCTGTAAAAAAAACAACTTTTTAAGATTCTTGGGTATGTGTTTGCTTTACTCCATTTCAGAAGAAAATTACTTTTCTTCTAATAAAATTATTTTATAGCTTCTCCATTTTTAAAAGTTGTGAGAAATATTGAGAAGCAGAACTCTGTGCTGACAGAAGAGAGTTGAGTTTGGTTCTCTGTTCTGTTACAATGACCTCTCATTACTCCACAGTAGTTACTGGAGCCAGTGAGAGAGCCGTATTGATGAATTCTGAACCCAGACCTCTGACATTAATGTGAGGTGGCTGTTACCCACGTCCAGACATCTTGAGTAAGGAGAGAAAATTTGATTTTGGAATATAATGATATTTCTTTCTCAACAACTGAACGTAATAAAAAGTTAATTTTCTATGTAGTCCTGTCTTTCCAAAATGCTTCACAGGGGCTCAAAATGTACAGAAGAATCTTGCTCTGACAGTTTGTTATTACCCATATTCAGATATACTTGAGACAACTCAAGAGCCCTACTACATAAATCCCTACAGAGAAAGACTGATAAGACTTGAGTAATCTTTAAAACAAGTGTTATTCTTGTTCACCGACCCCAGGACTGTAGAGGGGTTTCACTGTCTATACCATGAGACATTCACTTCCCCACTGAATCATAAATGAACTAGAAAGTATGTCATGATAATATTCCTGTTAGGTTTGAAGATTACATGTACATCTGCAATATCATGTGTTTTTAATGCCAGCACCCAGAACTTTTGACATATTCAGTCATTCAGATTAAAGGCACTGTTCCCCTGTGCAGCTTTGGAATTAACATTTTCACCCAGGAGATATCTCAGAGGTGATGCCACACATGTTTGGGACTGGTTTTAAGGAGACAGGCACATTGCAGCTGTAGGTGTTCATTTTCAGCATCTCGTAGATAACCCCATTGGTGTTAGTCCCACAATGGTGTGTTTGATAAAAGAGAATATGTCTAACTTTGAATCTCCTGGCTTGAAATTATAAACCATCTCATAATTCTTACTTAATGCTCCACCTGAAAACAAGTCCATATTTCTGGCCATTTTTATGTAAGCAAAACCGAACAATTGGTGAAATACTTTGTTACTCATGGAATTGACTCTGGCTCTCATCTTATGTGAGCCATTGGTCAGAGTAACATTGAATTGTGGGGCAAAGAGCTGCCCAGGTGGATTAAATTTTCCCAGGACACTAGCTAGTGTGCCTTGGATTGATTACCTCTTCTACTGCATTGAAAGGTGCCATGTTTTCCAAAATACTCAATTCCCAACATCTGAGTAAACAGTGACCTCCCAGAGAGTGGCTCACGTAACATGCTTCTCCCTAGGGTGAGCCCCATAAACATGTTTTATCATTCTTGTCTCATATTTCTACTTCACAAGTCAGTAAGTGTGTTCAAGGTAAGTACGGATTATTCTAGTAGGAATAGGCGATTGCTGTCATGATCAATTCCCATGTTGATTTCATTTCATTGTAAAGATAAATTAAAACCCAATTTTGCTTAAGCACATTGATGTAATTTTTTGGTATTATTTGACATGAAAAAACAGCAAAATTGAGTGATAGATACAATATGAAACTTGTTGATGAATGAATTCAAATTTATTAAAAAAGAACTAACTGACTTAAATATGAAGACTGATTTTTTTTTTCTTCCTTGGGTATCTTTTGGTGAAATGGTGTGCTTATTTTAATTCCAGGTATTTTTAGATGCACATGCCCATTTAGGTTACTCGGAAAGTCAGAGGAAATAAGGTCAAAGCTGAGTGCATGCAAGAACAACTGAACCATGATATTTCTTTAAAAATCATGATTTATTCTGAACTTCAAAAGAAACCTAGACACACAGATCCAGCTTGTGTTTAAAGAGAGTAATATTTTTATATGAAAGACCAGGGGAAAAACCTACCAATAATCTCTGGCACAGGTGGCATTTATTGGTCCTTACTGTTTAGGCTTCTTTTAGTACTAAAAGGCAACTTCCCTTGTTTCCTCTCCAGTGAGAAAGTAACAAGCAATGTCTATGAATAAATTGAATGAATGAATGAATGAACTGAATGAATGAATGAATGAATTCAGATCCTCAGACACCTCAAGCCAGATAGAACTTTTATTGAGAAATATATCTGTAGGCTCCCAGAAAAGCTGCTGGCTCACCTGCAAACACCTTAAAAGGAAAATCCCCACTGTCAGTTGTCAGTCTTACAAAATGTCCTCAGCCAATTAGTAGACCCTCAAATTTATCTACTGTAAGCAAAATAATACAAATTCTTTAGTAATTCTTTATAAGGCCTGTAACATTCTTTTCATCATATGTTTTTACATCCCTGATCTACTTTGGGACACTGACTTGGACATATTTCACACTAATGCTTCATCTAAGACTAGAACATCACTATGGGGACATTTCTCGCCTACTCCATGAGGCTGTAACACTATTCATTCAGATGACAAGTTTAAATTACCAGTAACTTCAGGAAAAAAAAAAAGGATTTTCATAATTTTGACTGAGTTTCTTAAGTGTTCTTTGAAAAGCAACCCACTTTTGATTAACCAAAAAAGCCTCACTAAATGCAGAGCACAGTTGTGCCCAGAGAGCCTCTATCCAGAATCTACTCAGTCCTATGTCCCCAGGGCTACTATGGCCCCTGTACACATTTGGCACCATTTTACAATTCTTGCCTACCTTTTTTTTTTTAAGGTTTATTTATTTGAGAGATAAGAGTGTGTGTGGGCAGAGGGAGAAGGGAGGCAGACGCCCTGCTGAGCAGGGAGACTGAGACAGGGGACTCAATCTCATGACCCTGAGATCATGACCTGAGCCAAAACCAGGAGTCAACAGATACTCAACCAACTGAGCCACCCAGGCACCCCTCACTTATCTCCTTTTTATCAGCTTCTAAAGGGCAAGAATTGCCAACTCTCCTTTGAATGGGAAAAATCCTTCGGGAAAGATTGACTCTTTGGCAAATAGGACATTGAGCCCCGATAGGACTAAATCAGCAATGGTATTGATTGAGGCACTGCTGGTATTAGAGTGACTCACACTCTATGGTTTTATTTTTTACATAAACAGGTTCCATTTAGAATCCATGAGCAAGCAATGCAGAGGGTACTTGTAAGCAAAATGCAGTTCACTGAAATGGTGTGGAGTGCGTATGAATGTATGTGTGCATCTTAAGACCAAATAGGAAATGAGTTAGTGGCCTTGGTAGCCAGATGATCCTAAGAAAAATATCTTTATAACTGAAATCTCCATTTCCGATCCCCAGGTTTTTAAGTATTTCTCTTGACTCCATTTTTTTAGATAAATATGTCAACACCCCTATCTTTTCATGAGTTTCTCTTTCTCCTTTCTCACCCCACCCCCATCTCCTGTGAACTGTAACTGTGGTTTTATATTACCAGGGTCCAACACATTTGCATTCTGCCTACAGTCATGAAGTTATATTTTACTATTTAATATTATGTTTATAGATTGATTCTAAACAAAAACTAATGAAACAACCCGTGTTATTGAGCTATATTTGGCACAGTTCAATGTTTAATACTTCATTTGAAGGCATAAAGATAAATCTTAGAAGAAGAAAAAAAAAACCCAAATACAGTAGCTAATAGTTTTTGACTGCAAAATGGGTTCAACTGATGCATAAGCAAAGAGGGGTCCTGGCCGTTATTACTGCATTGTGGAGATTGAAAACTGTCTCATTCAGAACAGTAGCTACTTTTCAGCCTTTAGGATTTTACTTATAAATTAATTCTAAAATTTTAAAAACAATGAAAAATATTATCAAGTATATAAATATTCAAAGCAAAGCTGGGCAGCTTGTTCTGACTTCTTTGTGCAGTATCTCAACCTTGGGCTATTTGAGGAAGAATCTTCCTAAGGTCCAGATAAAATGAATTACTTTTTCCTACACTACTTCATTCGATCCAAATCATACAACATATATGTTTCATCAAGTGCCTCCCAATCACCCACAAACACCCATTCTGGAGATTCCAATTTGCATTCTTTTTTCTTAATAAGGAAGGAATGGTGTGCTTTCTTGACTTTGTACCTAACATTATTCACCACCTTAGTCATTAAATTTATTGTTTGTTATCCTTTCTATTTTTCTTCATGAAAATATTTTTCTTAGTATTAACTGACTCCCATACAAATTAGGACTGCTTACATTTTGGACCTGCTGCAAAATTCTCATCCTATGATTTCTTTCCATTGAACTCCTGGATTAGTTCCACCATTTTTTTAAATAGCCCAGGTCTTCTCTTTCTAGGTTTTATTTCTCATTTTGCCAAAGTTCATCCTCTGGAAATGTCCAAAAAATGAGTATGGCACAGAAGATTTCTGAAGCTTTACATATCTGAATTCTTTCTTTGGTCTTTTTAGTTTACTTGGTAGTTAGCTTGGTATTGACATGGATTCAAAGCAATCTCCCTAAAACTTTGAAATCATTGTATAATTATATTTTATCATCCAGTTATACTGATAACAAGTTTGATGTCAGTTGATTCTTATTTACTTATAGAGACTCACCCCTAACTTCTCAACCCACCCAGGATTAAGGGAGGTTTTATGACATCTTTCTAGCATTTCATAAAGATATATTTAGTACGAGTCTTTTTTGTTCATTGTGTTGTGGATTCTGAGTGCAACTCTGGATCTAAAGATCTATATCTCTTAGCTCTAAACACTTTTCTTATATTACTTTTTTTTTTCATTCTTATGTTAATCCCCATACATTACATCATTAGTTTTAGATGTAGTGTTCCATGATTCATTG